TTTCTTTTCATAGGTAACATTAGAAATTTGAATAGAAGATTCTACATAAATATTATTCTACCTTTAAAAAAAAAAAAAAAGATTACCTGAAAGTTACTCTATTTTATAGCCATGAGATATTTTCGAATTTTATTAATTTTTAACAATAGACAAACTGTGTGCGGTAGTGAACGATGCAAAATATGTGGTTATGATTCGTTAATGTGCAACAGTTTCGAACAATGCTCATAATGAATTGTGTTTATGTATTTTGTATGCTTTAAATTTATAACTTAAATTTAAAATTGTGTACCATGTACCTACCTACTTATAACAGTTTCTTTAGTTCTGAACGCTACACTCAGTTCTAGTTTAAGTAAATATTAATGATGTAAGTATTAATCTGAAAAGACGATCCTGTCAGTCCTGCATATAATATATAATATTAGATATATTATATCCCGACGGTTTTCGGTCGTTTCAACAGAAGATTAACTCTTTTAATTTAGTTAAAAATGTCTGTGTGATATATTATACCCCTTATATTGTTGTACCCCGGTCACCCGTCACTGTGGCCTGTAGTTGGTATACGCGTAGTATAACAATAATAATTGTGTATGATAAATAAATAAAATAATAGCAATGATTTGTACATAATATTTTACTACGAAATGGATTAAATTTAAAATAGCACACGTCACACGTACCTATATGTTTCTTAAAATACACGCACATATTCGTTTATTCGTATACAATGTGTTCATATCGTGCCAATTATTTTTTACGTCATTCCGAAAAGACATTATATTATGAGGATACTGCTATTTAAATAACAAGTACACAACTTGTATGGTTGTATACGGTAAATAAGGTCGGGTGCGCTCGTAAAAACCGCGTTAAGGTTCAATAACAATGATAATATGTAATATTATAAGATAAATCATAATGTATCGAACGATTAACGTAATTTTCTCGTATAAAGACATGATGGTTGTAATTTGTATGCAATTAAATTTTATCGTCTCGCAAATATTATAACATTAACGACGACGAGCTCTCTTATATGAAAAATTTGTCGTAATTCAACGGCAGAGCTGAAAACTTAAAATGCAATTTTTCAACGTCCCGAAATAATGTTCGGCTGGATTAACAAATGTTTTAAGACCCGCAAAGTATAATAATATAGGTATGAAGTACAACTGCCATTCCGGCATCGAAAATTTAGGTTTTTTGGGGGGGAGGGAGGGGGAGACTAAAACCACTTTCAATCAAATCGACATTTTAATTTATTTAGTAATGAATAATGATCGTATAAATATTGAACAAATAATTATAAGCACTTCGCATCAAAAATCATTATTTTGGATCCCTTCCACTGAAAACAATTATGAATTTGCGTTACAACATATTATAAGGGCGTCGACGAAAGCAATACAAAATATACAATTTTAAGTATGCAATTTGTTGAGCTCGAAATTGATTTATTTATTTTTGGAACGAATAACGCGTATTTACACGTGCGTAATTAATATCATGCGCACTTATTTCAATGCGACGTTGATTGTTATTTGTTAATGTGAGAGTATTACTTGTCTTATTCCACCGGCCTGAAGTGATACCTATAAAAATATTATGTAAATAATGAAAAAACCAAAAGTAACAGGTTTTCAAAGAGTTTCGCGTCATACTCATAGGTACCTAATATTATTTTTACCGATTGTAAAGGTATTAAAGGTATTGTATAATTTATAATATAATACGAAACGCGGGTTATATCATTATTATTTTAGTAATCGAGTCTGCAGCGACAGTAGCGCGTGGCTTTTTTTATTAGGTGTGAAGTGTGATTTCCCCTCACTTCTTCTCCCCACCAACACACCCAAACAACTACACCAGTAAAATCCACTACACAATCGCTCATAAAGATAGCCAGCCGAATATTGCAATCGGGACCGATCGATTGGCAGACAATTCACACGTTTTTTTTTTTTTTTTTTTGTCGAGTTTTGCATAGTTAATATTATTATTTATCAAACCGATTCGTTGTATAGGATTAAAGTGGGCGTGAGTCCTTTCCGTACAACGACCGAAAAACCTTGCCACGCTTGCGTCGAACAAGTCTGTGGGAACATTTAACGTTCTCGTTTCTAGCAATAATGATGAAGTGTAAGAAACTGATTGTAAATAAACCGGCGATCGAGACCGTCAATAACCCGTCCGCGGACGTAAAATATCTATAAAGCTCGTGTGATGGATGTATACACTATACTGTACATGCATAATATTGTTTGTATATAATATTATATTATACCAACAACCTACCACAAATCGCAATATCATCGTATCACTGCGGCGTGCGTGTTGCGACGACGACTATGGACGCGGAAAAGCCTCGGGCACACGATGCGATTAAAAAGTAATAGGGATAAAAACCACTTTCCCCGGCACAAGCGATCCGGTCCGTAACACGTATTACGTAAGACAGCCGTTCACCATACTACCTATACTGTACTATTACTATTTACTATATCTCACTATAACACTACCGTCTACCAATACTATACATTATATTCACAATACCGGTCTGTACGCCATTATATATAGATATACTTGTTGTATACAAATAATAACACCTTATATTATTGTAGTCTATCGAGGTGTATAATATACATCCGATATCCACATTACCGGTGTGCCCCTCCTTCTCCCGCGGACTCGTGTCTGCGCGTTTTGTTTTTACCTCGAAATCACTTCCTCTTTCTCTTAGATCGCTGCTGCAGCCAGTCGGTGTGTACAGCGATGGTGTAATACCATATAATAAATTATAAAATTATATATAGGTGGAAAAGAACGGCGGCCAACTATAATAATTCGCTACGCTATTCAATAATATACTGTTACCGTACAGCGATTTCGTTGCGTGGGTATAGCAGCGGTGACTATGGCCAACACATTATTATACGGCGACAGCACTGCACAACCGGACAGCCGTAATTCAAGTTTTACCATGGGAGCACACACTCGAGAGGAGGTTATAGAGACAGACGTGATAAAACAATACAAGCGAGGTTTTTTTTTTTTATCGATATATTTTTATTATTACTTTTTTCGTTTTCACTATCAACCAAACACGTTATAATATTAATAATAATATAATAATAATAAAAATAAGAGTAATACAAAACTGGTTTGTCAGGATGACATTTGGATAATAATTAAGTACAATTTCGATAGAACACACATAATACATAAATAATGTGTACTTATTACATAAATATTATTTTTTCAACATAATCAAAAGTCAAAAGTAATTAATTTGTTATAAATCAAACAGCAGAGCAGTGTAAGAGTAGCTAACGAGGGTTGGCTAAATACATAAATATAGAAAAAAATAAATAAAAACTCAATATAATCGATTTTTAAAAAAATATTAAAAGTACAAAAAGAACGACTGGGGAGGTACGTTCTGCCAAAATAATAAATTAATAAATTACGATTCTACAGTATAGTAAATACGAGCTTAACACACGAATACAAATAAAAAGATAAATAAGTCACACACGACGAGCACATGTACAAACATAAGTTTTAAATCGAGTTGAGTTAATTCTGCGTAGAACACGGATAGGAGATGAAATTAGTTCGCAATTTTTTTTTTTTTTTTTACAAACTTATACGGGATCAGACATTAATGATGAATAAATTAAATTGATTGAGTTCCAGCAAAACGGGTTGATAATGTTTAATTTTTATAATACGAAACATTAAAAAAAAATCACACACACACACACACACACACACCTGCGTCGTAAGGTTTACACGCGTTACATCGCATAGAATGGATGGCGCGTATGATAGGTACGTTTCGCGTGGTATGTATATTTATATGTACACAGTAAATATAATAATATTAAAGTTGTTATGCGAGTCGGTCAGAGTGCGTATAATATTATTAATAATAATTAAATAAATAAACAGTTTTTTTTTTTTTAGTTAAGTTATGTAAATAGTAGTTATAAAAGAGAGGAGTAATAATAAAAATAATAATAATAATAATAATAATAATAATAATCATAATCATAACATTGAAGTCAGTTTGATGAAAGTATGTAGTTATAATAATAATAATGGTTTGCCGCACACGTACGAACGCAATACGTACTGACGTGATCGGTGGGTAGTACCGTTCTAAAGGACAAATTCTGAGAAAAACGCGAGTGGCGTGGTAGTCTGATAGCACCGATACAGATCCGAAAAAACGCGACTTCCGGCCAGTTTCCGGTTGCAATCAGACGTCACGACGCTCGGTTCCTTATCCTCCAGAAATGTTCCCCGTAAAACGCATATAGCCCACCGATTACGATCATCCAAACTTAATCACGTTCATATACGTACGGTCAAAATAATATTAATAATAATAATAATAATAATTATAAAAAAAAAAATAATAATAATAAAAATAACGGCACCCCGCGCGGTACGACGGGGTGCACCGGTTAACGCGGACCAAAACTAATGCTAAATAACATAATAATAATAATAATAATAATATACGAGTATAATAATTAATAAGTAATAATAATAAGAATTAATAAGAATAAATCGAGTAAAATCGTTACGGGCGTATAGTTATCGGTTTCTTTTTCTTTTGAACGCGGGCGAGGGAGAGTGATTTGGAGAGAGGGAGTGAGAGGTAGTGGGAGAAAGATAGTATGTGTGTGTGCGAATACGATAGGAATGATTACATAGTATAGTAGTATAGTACCTATACAGTACATATACGACATAATAATATTACATAAGTTAAGCGTAAGTATAAAAATTCGGAACATCAGAATAATATCATAATAATTGTCTGTAAAACGAACGCCGTTAAAGTAGTAAAAAAAAAGAAAAAAAATACTAAATTAATTAACGAGAAATATAATTTAAACTATGTACAAGACTGTTATCACGTTTTGGTATATATAAAAAAATTAGAACAATGTGGCAACGGCCGATGGGCGGGGGGGAGATGACGCTCAGAACCCGTAGAAACCAAAATCTGGTTCGCTGAGGCGACGCGGTACGACTGTGGTCGGCACGTGGAACGAGAACACGTCACCGGTGGCCGGTGGAGAGCCGGACAGCCTGTTGAACACTGGTAATCGGCCCTCGGGCGACTGCGGCGGCGTGAACATGCTGTCAAGCATGCCCAGCCCGAGGTCGGCCAGCGAACCATCGCTGCCGATGCCGGACGACGATGAGGTGGACAGCGGCGGCGAAGCAGGCGACGCTGGTTGAATGTAACCATCGCCCTTGTGCACGAAATGGCATCGTTGACCGTAAGGGCAGTAACCGGCCGAGTTGAACGAGCGGCACGGTTCCGTCTTGTACTTGGGGTGACGGAACACAGGGCGCAGATCTTGTTCGCCATGAGCGAACTGACACTTGTCGCCGTACGCGCACTTGATTTTCTCGATGTACTGACGGCACATTTCCGTCTTGTACCGCGAGCCCATCGGTGCCTGCGGCGGCAATGGCTGTTGATCGTCTGTCAGTTGTGGTTGTTGCTGTTGCTGTTGCTGCTTACCAGATCCACCGCGACGACCCTGTCCCTGGCGCCGTCTGGGTTCCGATGACACGGATCCCTGATTGCTGCTGCCACTGTTGCTGCTACCTGTCGACGACACCATCTCTTGCCACCAGTGTTCCACTTCCGTAGCCACTGCGCGCGGTCGATTCTGTGTCTGCGGAAAAAAGAAAAAATATAATTAAATTTGTATATAATATTATTTTTTATAAGCTACGATTAGTACATAATTCGGACTGGTAGGTAGGGAGAAACGTGAGAGGTGACTAGAGTGCCTATTTATTTTATAATATAATAAATGTTATATAATTATTAATATAGGTAGGTACTCGAGCGATGCGGTGCGTAAAGAGAAACCTAGTTTTATTTTAATTTTATAATAACGCGATCATCGTATTACAAGTTACAACATTTGCACACACGGGGACCGGTATCAAGTTATTCGTTTGGAAATATTACAAAAGAGTTTTTTGATTTTTTCTATGTTTACCTATAGTTTGGTTTCTGTACTTTCGTATATTATGCAAGATACAACGAAAGATTTCATGCCAATATACAGGCTCAGGTTTTTAATTTACCATTAATGCAGTTATTCCACTTTACAATGGGTTATTAGCGAAAATAAAATCTGTCTAAACAAGGTTACCAATTATTAATTTCCGAGATAAAACAATAATTATAATTTATAACTGTTATTCCCTAACAATAATTTGCCTAGTTCAATAACTACATTAATACTACAGATTACAGAACCACTCAATCGCCTACATAATATACTAAATACTAATCGACCAACTGCCTGTAATATGTTATTCTAATCGACCAACTGTCTATATTATGTACCTATTGTTTAATAGGTTTATTTTTCAAAATTAATTCAAAATGTTATATATTTTATAGATATATTTTTAATTTTATGGATCGAGTGAAATATTGTATTAATACCTTAACATATTTTTTGTTTGAGAACAATATTCCCATAATAGACACTGCGAGATTTAAAGAAGAATAATGTACTATAAAATTTTTTTTTATCGTTTTTAGGCTCAAGTAAAATTACAACGTGTGTAATACTGTAATAACATTTTTCCCGCACATGGCACATCGGCATATGTTTGAGATAGCTGATAATGATTTATCTGCAAACTGTACATAATAATTATTATGCTGTGGTAAAACATTAATTCAACGAATATTTTGAAACGTACAGAAAAAATGAATACTTCTCGTTGTAAATGTAAAATCACAATGCAAGTACGTTCGTAAGGAAATACACGAATTGATATGTTACATTAATTGTCAGGTTCACGTAGCATACATATTAATATCACAAGGTTATAAAAAATGATATTTTAGACAACACGTCGCACACGAGATTTATTTGTATTCACAACCGTCGCCTAAACACATGGTTCAAACATTTCAAACGCGTCAAAAATGTAAAGAAAAAATATCGTCTTTATTTTCAAATTTCTTCCGATAATATTATTGCAATTGATGTTATCATTTTCAGTATACTAGACGGAGGGTTCCGCATCCATATTATTCATTATAGTATTAAACACACACTCATATTATATATCCGGTCATTATCTAAATAGGTACAAACTACGTATTCGGGGATCTGTCTAGACGGGCAAAAACATCGCACACGTTACAATGGTAATTTATAAGCAATAATTGTATTGTGTTTTTTTTCTTTTCGGCAGATGATGGTCTATAACCGAGATAAGGGAAACATAAAAGTCGAACTAACAAACGCATAATATACAGACATTACTCATAACTGCCAATCCTCACAGTTGTAAATTATTATTTATAAAATAAATTCTTTGATTTATTTTATTTCAAAGATTACACGCTTAGAACGAAGAATACAAGTCAACTATATGAACAAAATTTCAACTAAAAAGATGTCAGTAGGTACTTGTAAATTATAATGTTCGATATTCGGATAGTGCTCGATATCCGCCATTTTCGAAGGAGCAAGAAATATAATAACAGGGTATTTACATTTAAATAGTTCAATTTTACTCATTTATTTGACATTAACATATTATTGATATAGTGACCTACTAATTTTCTGAGTAACTGCGTATACAACGGACTAATCGACCAGTAAATTATAATTATTATATTTAACAAATTAGGGATAGACTAAAATGGGCTAGACCTTTATAACAACAAATACTATAAAACTATTATAAAGCGTACATTAGTAATTCCAGAGATGGGTAATCAGTGATCATAATAATATGTTCTAATCTGAAGATAATAATATAATATTGTTAGTAAGATAATATATTTGTTTTCATTAAAAATTAATAATAATTATACGTTTTTTGAACGGCCGTATACAATGTGTTTTCTTTCATGTAAACAAAAATGTCCGAAATCAAAACAAAGACAATTTTTCTCCATGATACTATTTTGTCATCTGTGGGCGTTTTGCCTGGTTTTTATACCGTGACTACATTCTTTACTATTATATTGGTTTTTTTTTGTCTAATAACGAAAATATGCGCAGACACAGATATTACAACAAACGGACACGGTCAGTGTTTAGAAAGTGAAAATATAACCGGTGCGGTCTTGAACGCTGTTGCATAAGGCTGTTGCGATACTCCACACGCACACACAATATTTTCACGTGTAGTAACAAAAAAGAAAAAAAAAATTATCATCGTTTATTGTGTCCCACACCGATAAGTCCGAAAAAAATTACGATGACGTTTATGCATTACATCAGTATTCTCTCTTTTAATCTATTTTTATTCCCTTCAAGACGTCGCCGACTATGTCGCTGTCGTGGGAAACACGTCACACAGACACAAACACACGCGATGCAAACATACCGTGGTCGTACACACACACACACACACATAAATATATGCGATTACGCGACAACTTCGGGAAGGACGAAGAAAGCGAAAAAATAAAATATTCTAGTCAAAAACAAATGACTAATGATAAAAATTCAAACTTTAAGAAAAAAAAGATGTACCCGTGTGCAAAATGTATGTCATCCGCGAAATGCGCTCGCGAAAAAAGCAACGTAACGTCAACAAGCGAAGATAAAGTCAAATTAAGAGCTAACCCAAAACGATATTGAATTGATAATGATTACCCATTGTCACCGTATACAAACTATTCCCGTACCTATATAATATTATTATACACACACACTTACATTATAATATGTATGTAGGACGGACGGGCGGCTTCTTGTGTGTACGATTTTTTAGTGACAAGGTCATGTGCTTGTGTGTGCAATTATACGCAGCGGTAAACACTACCGGGATAGCGTTTATACATAATTTAATAATACCTAATAATGATAATATTAAAAATAAAAATTCAAATATACGGGATATGTATGTTTTTAATTCACTAGGGAAGGAGGAGTGAGTATTGGGTCTCGTGAGTATTATTTTTCCAACCACGTCGTCGTTTTTGTTACAAGCTGGTTACGTTTAAAAATTAAAAATAAAATGTGTAGCAATTTTTATTTATTTGAAATTCGTTTGAGCTTGCAGCTGCCCACGTGTTATTAATGTATGGGCCGCGCTGCGCACTATACTAATGATAGACGGGTATCAGTACGGTTCACGTTCGGGGTGTGGTGGTGGTGATGGTGGCGGCGACGACAACTTCCTGGTCATGTAGCGAATTTCCTTTCTCTTGTTTCTCTAACACGTGTGACCCCCCCGGGGGCAAGGACGTGTTCGATAACCTAAACGTCCCAAACCATGAATCGTTTGTCCTTATTTTTATTGCTGTTTTTTCAAAAATGTACGATACATATATTATGTAGTATTAGTAGGTATAATTGATCATCGGATACTACAAACAACATAAACCCATATACCAATAGCAGTACCTAACGTCTGTGTTTGAACATTATTCAGTCGATTTTTAACACGCGATCGGCCCCCACAGACGACACACGCATAGTATGAAACGCATAGTATTTCTTTGAACCAAATAAAAACGTTAATTTATCGCTGTTCGTTTACCTAAATACTAGGAGGTGTAGAACCATAAGTAGGTACGAGACTACATTGTGTTTAGTACAATGCGCCATGCGCCATGCGGGTCGTTGACATGATGGTATATCGTACATTTGAAAATGTATGTTTTTTTTTTAATCCAATATCATTTAAAGATAAGGCTGGGGCTATACACGGCGTATTCCGCCGCGTTTCGAACGCCGCGTATTCCGCAGCGTTTTCCGTCGAATTAAAAACGCATTGGTTTAAATCGGAGCAGCTATACACGACGGGCGTAATACGCCGCGTTTTCCTCCGTGGCGGAAAACGCAAGCCGACCGGCGTTTTTTGCCGCCGCGGAAAACGCGGCGTATTACACCCGTCGTGTATAGCTGCTCCGATTTAAACCAATGCGTTTTTAATTCGACGGAAAACGCAGCGGAAAACGATGCGGAATACGCGGCGTTCGAAACGCGGCGGAATACGCCGTGTATAGCCCCAGCCTAATAGTTTCTTTCGTATTTATACCTTGAAACTTATTTAGAGTGTACAAAAACCGTGTTTGGCTATCGATTATGGGGATTGAAACGTGAAAATAGGATTTATGAGAAAATTGTGGTCGTCTGTTTGTTTTTGGTGAAACATTGTCTTAACGGTTTTCCCAAGAGCAGAGAAAACCGGAAGACTGACGTATAACGGAGGAGTCTCGAACCGTGACCACTTTCGATTTTTATGAAATCATACGAACGGCGGTTAATTTACTTATTCAACAATTCGAAATCATTATTATTATTATTATTATTATTATTATTATCTTATCGCATTAGGGATTTTGATTGGAGCACTTACACGGTGTAAATAGCGAAAATGTAAACACGCAATGAGGATAAGCTATCGAAATCGATAAAAATAAAAGGAGATATCATACTATAAAACGTTCGGTATTACCGTGACCTTAAGAGTTTATCGCTCTACCTGCTCGTTATTGAGTATGATAGTTAAACCGTTTTAATAAAGATATTGTTATTTTTATATGCAAATTTGCTTCATCTCCATTACTGAAAATTTTAAAATGTTCGAGTCTTATTGATTTTATACGTTGAAATTGCAACCAGCGAGAGAGAATCATTGTCAAAGCCCCAAGGTAATATAAACTTGTGTACAGTATTGCAAGTGTGTACCATTATAGACCATACTACACTTACAGTAACGAAGTAAACACAACAGCCAATTGGTCGAATATATTCAGCACTAGTAGGGACAAACACACTACAATCGAACAAACGCGGTGGCCTTCACAACATACAATACGTACCTAAAATGTCAAATGGCAACCAATAAAACTTTTCTGGCCTTTAAAACCGTACGATACATTATCAGTTATATAATCACGTGTGCGCTCATGTAACCGTGTGGTGCATGGGGATTGAAAAAAAACCTGTTGGAATAGAAAATGTTCGTCTGCACATACGGCGGTTGTTATGCTTTGTGCATGTGAGAAAGACGAAGTATAACGATAGCGGGAGGGGGCGGTATGGACCCTTGCCGAGCACACAAAGGGGATCCAACAGGTGGTTGCTGTGTAGGACTAATACCACCCGAAGATTCGGTCGACCCTTCGAGTGGATATGGGGACGGGTAGAAAAGGAGAGAATAAAACGACAAACAAGAGGTTTCTATATTATTTCTACGAGTGTGTGTGTACAGATGATTTTTCGTTATTGTGTTTGCACAGCACGAAAACAGACAAAGATGCACCGAAAATATTATCAATAGGTCATAAACCTTATGGACCTAAAACAATTAAACCCGAACGGAAAAATGGCTCGCCTGCCGATAACAGCTAATACCAATTTGACGTTAAGGAATATCTGTTTCAGAATTATAAGCTCGTTCATATTATATATTTTTTAAATTATTATTTTGTTAGGTTTTTAAGTCAGCATACCTATATTGCCGCTATTAGCCAATTAAACCGACTCCGTTATCGCAGACGAGCACGTGATTAGCGGTAACGCAGTAGGACCGCATCAGAAAAAAATCAATTTTTCAATCATACAACAATTATACAGTATTATTAATTTTATTTGTAATTTATTTATATTGTTATCATCATGACGCACGTCTCCGCGATGAATCGACGTCAATGCTCGAGACGAAGAGGTCCGACCTATGAGTGGCGGTAGGGTGGTTAGGGTCTTAGGGATTCGCTACGATACTGTAAATTATAATTAATATTATGTCGAAAACAAAAGCCCACCGACAAGCACGTGGCCCACGTGGTCGTGCGACAACGTGCTTTACGTGCCTAGTGCCTACTCCGCACCACTTTAGCTTCGACCCTACTTTCATTGCTAACATGATTTACTAAAATAACTTAAATATTTTATACTATAATAATAATATTATGTATATGTATTATTGTCATAAATTAATGTGTGGGGTTTTTACCTTGGCGACTGTTTCTCCACTGTTGAACAACGAGTTGGTCATTTTTTCACGTAGATTGTCAAACTTTTCTGTTTTCGTAAATATTTCTTGAGACGCACTCGTTTTATTATTTAGTTTTCAATAAATAATAAATTGATTTACCGTAGGCTAATTTTCAGCACGTTGTGTAAAAAACCGAATCGGTAGACAAAACAACACACTGGTTATTATATAACAATATACTATAATAATAAGTGTATAAATACAATATTATTGTTATAATAATAAAATTATTATGTAACGTAACACTGGGCGATTTCGTGTGATGAACAACGACTTTGCCAATCGACGACCGTGGTCAAGAGGTAAAAAAACAATTGTATATTGAATCGAAAAGCTCGCGGTTTAGTTGTCGCTAGGCACAAGTCGCTAAAAATATACTGAAAAACGCCGTGTGATGGTTTGCGTGTAAGAAGCGTGTCTGTCTCGTTGGACCGCGTATGTGTACGTGCCGATCGCGTTATTCGGACTGACGAGCGTATGCGGAGGAACAGTCGAGATCGGCCGCGGCGTGTTGGCCGCCGCCCGACAGACGGACTAGTTTGCCCCCCACCCCCACCCCGCCGCCGCCGCCAAACGTACCGCTCGCGACAATGTCTTCCCGTCGAACCCTCTCTCACAGCCCCCGCACCGCGCGCGCGCCCGACCGGCCGACGTTCGTGTGCGTTTTCTCTGCGCCGCACGTTACCGCGCTCGCACCACCCCCTCGCTTGATTCCCCCCCACCTGTTCAAGGTCGCCGCCACCGCACAGATGATGATAATATTATTATCGTCGTGTGTACAACGTACGCCGTCTCGCGTCACGTGTTTTCGACGAGTTCGCCACCGACTCTACTTGACGCTCACCACTCCCCACCCCAAGCGATACGGCAGTGTATCATAGCCATCATAATTATTGACATAATATTATATTGTCATTAAAAATATATTGTTTTGTGTTATATTTCTGTTTTCCGTTTTTCCGTCCCGCCACGAAGCAAGAGTAATCGCCGCTCCGCTTCGACCCGTCATCCCTAACTTATTTCCATCGCCATCACGTGTAATATCAGTAGGTTTTACCACTTAAGTTTGTAGGTTGTTTGAACCCAGTGTTTGAATATTATTATCCTGTCACACACAGACTGTGTTATCTGGATATCTGGACGAGAAGTAAAATAACAATATACCGGTTTACAATTTTACATTCAAATTATTCTGTTTTTCACATTCGTTTTGTTTGAAACTAATGAATTTCATAGGTAGACCGTAGACATTAATTTTCTCCAACACATAAGGAAAATTACGTTATACGTGCAAACCTTTTGGTGTCTGTCCGTGGTTTATAAATGGATATAACCAATAATAAATTGTTTTATTTACTAACTAGTAACTACCTAATCAAATACACACACATTATACTATTTACTAAATCGTCAAATACAAAAGTGATAAGTATAATTGTCAATTAAAATACGTAGGTACTAGGTATCTAATACTTACAATATTATATTCCATCTCTCCGCTCAGAATTTAAAATATTAAATATACTATAAATCAGTCTTGTAAAGTATTTGAGTAAAAGTATTTGAGTAAATGTATTTAAATACTTTTATTGTATTTAGAATACTTTTTAAATACGGTTTTGGACGTATTTGTATTTGAAAATCAAATACTTTCATTTAAATACTTTATCGATTTTTTTCAATAATAAATGATTATTTATTATCCTTTTTCTCAGAAATCAAAGTAATATCATGACTAAATAATAATATAGTCATGAGTAATATCATTGAAATTTAGTAAGTTTATTCCCGACATAGCCTCCTAAAATGCAAAATATTATTGTTTTTTTTTTCATTGAAGCCCTATATTAGAATTATTTGAAACTTCAAACTATAAACATAGAACAATAATGAAGCGAAACTCGATCAGCTGATTCGATTTACGACTTTACGTTTACCTATGATCTTATTTTTTTTCCTGTTGAATAATTGAATAGTATACATACGTAATATATACATTAATATAAATATTTTCACTACAGAAATATAGCATTTATATATAAATTATTTTCTCCAGAAGCTAGGTTTGTTGTGGAGATAAAGGTTCTTATAATATCTATATTTAGTTCTCATACAATAAACAATTAAAACGATCATTCGGTGATTATTAACTTATCATACAATTATAGGTACCTTGGTTAGTACCAGAATATGGAACATGCATTATAATATATGAACTATTAAGTATTAACTAGGTATATAATAATAATTAATATGTACAGTTTGAATGAGTTTGATCTCATGGTCAAATTTAAAGTTAAAATATCAGAGAAAAAGTATTGAACCCAAAGGTAAAACTTAAAACAAATGTATTAAAATAAGTATTTGTGTTTAAATACTTTCTAAGTATTTGTATTTGTTCTTAAATACTTATTGAAAAAAGTATTTTAAATACTATTTAAATACTTTTTAAGTTGATGTATTTGTATCTCTATTTAAATACAAATTAAAAGTATCTTTTTACAAGATTGCTATAAATACATATTATATTATGATATATGTGTATTATAGTATTATACACATTACACAAGTAGGTAGGTAGGTACATAACGCGAGTGATAAATATAAATGTATTGATGATTACTAAAATATAGTAGGTAAATACATATTAAAATTTAAAATATTAATATATTATACAATATACATCCTATTATGCTACATGCATAGTCGATAGTTGATAGGTATACATGAAGAATAGTAGAATACAGGGTGATTTTTTTATCGAAGAACACTCATTATTTCAAAAAGTATTAATGTTTAAGTAAATATTTTTTTACATAGTTTCAAGTTGTTAAAAAACAATATTTTTATTAAAAAATTATATTTTTAAATATTTTTTATCCTTTTAATTTTTTAAGTTTTTTACTTTTTTGAATGACAACATCTAATTTTAATTTGATATTCAAAAACAGAATATTTTTCTGATTATTTTAATACATAAAAATTGAATTTAGGGCAAGTAGTTTATGAGTTATAAGTATTTAAAGTTTAGATGAGCGGAGTAGAGGACAAACATTTCGCGGGGTAACCCCGTACCACTCTACTCCGCTCATCTAAACTTTAAATACTTATAACTCATAAACTAATTGCCCTAAATTCAATTTTTATGTATCGAAATACTCAGAAAAATATTCTGTTTTTGAATATCAAATTAAAATTAGATGTTGTCATTCAAAAAAGTAAAAAACTTAAAAAATTAAAAGGATAAAAAATATTTAAAAATATAATTTTTTAGTAAAAATATTGTTTTTTAACAACTTGAAACTATGTAAAAAAATATTTACTTAAACATTAATACTTTTTGAAATAATGAGTGTTCTTCGATAAAAAAATCACCCTGTATATACTTATTAGGTACCTATATTACACCTACCTATGTTTTATATTATTTAATCGATATATTTTGTCAAAAAATTAAAAAGTTTGCCTAATGGTACTACACTACTACATATGTATGGCATTACCATGGAGCAGGGCACTCCGACCATTTTTTACTGCAGTCTGTATTATTTTGGGATGATTAGTGATTTAATGAGATTGAAAACATATAAGAATCAATTCATTATTATACTTATCCAACTGTTTTCTTCCTGGCTCCTGCTACATTATATAGCAAGTACCTATCTTGTAGTCTAAGATCAAACCATCAGTCAATTTGTTGGGCTGGTTTAGAATCTTCACGGGCTGGAATCGACCGGTGGAGACCTCTATATTAGACCTCTTAGTTTGGAGACCCCTATTCTATAAAATTTAACAACGGGGCTTACTATGAAAAGACGAACTAAGAAAGGACATAATACAAAATACAATTTAAAAGGAAAACGTTTTTCTCAATGTAAGTAAAATACTAACCACACTGCGTTCAGCTCGAGGTGTTCACTGTTGAATTCATTATTTTGAATATGTTTATCTTTTGTTTGGATAAGAACAAAGTAGAAAAAAGAACAAAGTACATATTTTGTTTAGAACTGTGGTTAATATATTTTACTAGAATTCAGAGAAGTTATGATTTCTTGTTCAATATTTGAATTAAAAATTAAAATCTAAAAAGGAGCATGTTTAATAAACACCGTAAATGTTATCTTTTGAATGAGCAAGCAATATACCTACCATATACGGTGTGCACGTGTGTTGTATAATAAAGAAATTGAAATTTACTTTTAGTTTTGTTTTTAATTTTCCGAAGATAATATCAGCCCTAATGTATATATACTCATCCCGTTTATTCAAGACAATGCAATAAATAATAATGATGAGAATATAATATTATTTATTTTATTCAATAATATTTATGTCGATGCTGATTAGTGTTAGTGATTATTATAGTGATGACTATGAAGAATAGAATTCTATATATATTGCTGAGTGCTGATGACACTATATATCATATTGTATTACACGCTGTAGCGCTGTGAACTACTGTCACTACCTACATAATTATTTTCCATAGTATTCACTATTAAGTATTAACACAGAAATACAAAACATTAATAATATTTTATAAGGTAAATATTAACTAATAATCAGCTGCAGTAAAATGTAACTACAACTATCTATTGTTGACGTTTTCGGTTGTGCTGGTTTTACTAAAGGTGTATCGTCTCACACTAGAAATTAAATACAAGTTACTCAATTTTCAATGATTACGAATGTGTAGTATGTATTAGTGTATAAGTGTATTACCCTATCACTTATCAGTTGTCGCCTGTCGGTTTTTTCATTTATCAGTGTATAACGAAGGCGGAAGGGTATAGAGCCTATTAATGGACACAGGTGCCATTCACGTCACTATTCATAAAAAATGTAGGTATATACAAAATACAATAGAAGGTTTTTAAATGTCTAAGATTAAATAACAACTTATTCTAATAGCATGGTGTCTTTCAACATATAACTTTTCTACAATTACATATTTGTTCTGTGCTGTGTTTTTTATACCATAATAAATTCTATAAAATAAA